GAACTCCCATATTCGCATATCAAAACAAAGAAGAAGATGCATACAGGGAGAGCAGTATACTCTTAGCGTGCGTGCTCATCACCCTCACATTTCACCGTCCTGTCTCCGTAAACACCTCCCTCACTCATGCATGCACCACGACGACCTGGTGCGCACATCTCCAGTCGTTTTTGCACTTGTGTTCATCACCCCTTCATGTCACCCTTCTTGCTTGCTTGCTTGCCCCTGCTTTTCTTTCGCCAGGGCTACGGACGAGGGTTGCCCCTTCTCTCTCTCTCTTTCTTTCGCCAGGGCTACGACCGAGGGTTGCCCCTCGATCGCGCGCGTCAGCGCCCCCGTATGTTACGGGGCCAATGGTGAGAATACATGCTTGCGCGACGAAGGCAATCGGCGATCAGACTGAACAGCAAGTAAACTAGCAGGCTGGAAGTATCGTGACATTCCAAAAACAAGGCCGTGGATTGCCTGTGTGTCGTCATTATGTTGGGATATCCCCCAAGTCTGTCCATCTCGGCCTAGTCACTTGGAAGTACCAGCAACAAGGGAACCACAAGCCCGCAGTCTTGTGACTAGACCTGTCTCTCTCTCTCTCTCTCTCTCTCTTTCTTTCCCCAGGGGTATGGACTAGAGGGTTGCCCCCCTAGCCCGCGCGCCTGTTGGCGCCCCTGACTGTTGCAGCGGGCGTTTCGGGAACTGGCTGGCCCCACCAAGGCAATTTTTGCCTTTTCGGGCTCAAAGCGACAAACTCCACTCAGGCAAACTGCAATCCGGTCAAACCGCCAAAACAGTCCATAACGAGTAGGCTCAACCCACGAGGATCCTTTAGGTTGCAGTCCCCTTTCGAAGTTTCAAGGCAGCGGAAGTTCTTCCCTCCGGTTCCCTGCGACTCATCAGCGAAGCATAACCAAATGAAAAACGAGTAAGTGGCAACATCCATCGGAGCGGGAAGGAAACTGCCATGGTTGATGACTACATGGCTCTTCCTGCGTTAACGATCTAGGTCCCCTGCGCCCTGCCAGCTATGAAACGGGTGACAAACAGGCCTGGGAAGAGCCAAACAAACCCAGCAGTCCCAAAGAGAGGGGGAAGGGCCCCTATGTAGCACTCAAGCACATCGAACCCCGAAAAACACCCTGCGCCGAACCTTCTGAAGACAAGCCAACCTGAAAACCGAAGAGGTGCCTTGCAGACTGCCCTTCCCCTGATCACTCTAACGGGGTTTTTCCCCTCACTTTCAACTCAGCTCTCATCATCTTCGCCCTCGTCGCTCTCGCTGGTATCAGCAAGCGCCGCTTGTAGCCGTCGTCTTCGGTGTGATGGAGCTCTTGTTCTCCGCATTGTCGTGGTTGGGGTTCTTCCCCGTGGCAATACAGGTTGGCAGATGACTGTGTCCGCTTGGCTCATTGGGGTAACGTCCCCACTTTGCTCTAGCTGCGTCTGAGTGGCTTCACAGCCCCTGTGGTCTGGTGCAGGTACTAGTCGAACTGGGTGTCCCCACAAAGATTGCGTCCATCCTGCAAGGTGTGCGTGGGCCTCCGCCAGGAAGTGGGCCAGCTCTTGCTCGGCAAAGGGCATGGCTTCCCTCAGGATTTCTTGTGCTCGAAGAATGGCGTAGGGGGTTGCCTCCCTTGCTATCGAAGCTCCACTTGCTTGAGGTACTCCTGAATCTTGCCCTGCAGGAACACCTTGGCGAGGATGGGGTTCAGGAGGATGCCGTACAGGAGCTGTCGCGTCATGGTGTTGGGTATGTGGGAGGTCAAAGACGGGGCTTTGATTGCTCCCCGAGGCCCGCTCATTGCCATCTCCCATCCTTCGCTTTTTTACTGGGCTGCCACTGGTGTCTTCAAATTTCGCTTGCAACCACTTCATCAACGTCTCCATGTATCCTCTGCATCGCTGTACAGCGCCCAGCGCTTGCTGAAGGGTCTCCCCTATTTGCACTATACTTCCTTCTTCCACTGCCAGATGGCTCCAGTCTAGCGCATCGAGTGCATTTCGAATACTGGCTGTGCCTTCATGTGCACCGGGGGCATCTGGGTCTCTTCCCCAGGTAACCAGGACCTGCTTGGCCTCCTTGAGTAGCTGCTCCACCCTGGCGATCTCGTGGTAGAGGTGTCTTCGGGGAAAGTCGCCGTGGTTCTGCGCCATGTGGGCCAACGTGGCCTCGACCTCGATCAGCGGGTTATCAAGGGCGAAGACTATCGCAGTGGGATCAGTTCCCTGTGCTGCATTCCTTTGTGGGGTTTCCCCCTGCGGGTTCTGCTGGTAGAAGAGAGCCTGCATCTGGGTGAGGTAGCTGCAAGCTCGGTACGCAAGGCTCGTTACTGCCTCGCTGGGTTGGGCAAAGGACGCTTGCAGCAAGTTGTGTACGACCTTGGTCAAAGCTTGCAATAGTTCCTCAAAGGTCTGCGGTGGTGCTTCTGGTATCCACGAGCGGCCTGGATCATCTTGAATCTCGAGGTCGATGACGGCGTTGTCAGGGTTGTTGTCGGCTTCTGTGGCGGGTGTTTGTGGCGGTCTGGGTGAGGGTCTGGGTCCCCGCTGCATGAGTTCTGCTTCGTCTCCGTCGGCATGGGTCGATGTAGTAGATGTCGTTGTTGGCCCGGCAGGGGGGTCCGCCCCCCTCTGTAGGGCTTCAACTGTGTGGCTATCTTCGGGGTCCTCGCTCGGCCAGCTTGTCTCCGACTCCGATCCTGAGCCCGTAGGCTGTGGAGGCAGTGGAGGTCGTGGTTTTGGGAGTTCTTGTCCCAGAGGTCGCTGTTGGCCGCGGCTTGGCTGCGCTGGTTGCGATCGATTTTGCTGGGGTTGTGCTTCCCCCCTGGCGCTGCTTCTGGCCTCCGTTTGGGGTCGATCGCGCGGCTGTTCTCGAGACAAATGTCCCGGTCTCTGTGGAGGCGTCGGCGGTCTCGGAGGTTGCTGAGGGGGTATAATAGAATAGCCCCCTAGCCTGGCAATGTCCCCCTCGAAGCGTGGACGTCGAACCCATTCGCGTTGAACACCTTGCCATTCGAGCAGGAATTCTTCTCCAGGCTGCAGAGGAAGTTCCCCTGGGCTCGGGGCACCGGTTGGAGTTGCTTCGACTGTAACTAGCCAAAACCTTGGCGTTCTGGCGAAGCTCAACTCAAAGCGAGTAGTACCAATCCAGTCTCCCACCGGTTGTAAAGTCAGGGTCACCCCTGGTTGAAGAGTTGGCCCTGATCTCCACGGTGTACTGAGAGTCTTGTACGCAACCATGGTGGGTTCGTGTCGCGTCCTCGGCAGGTGACGCACCACTTGTTGGCCTTGGGGGTCCAAAGGATCCCCCGCCATGAGCCTGCTGCTGTCCCGCGTGCACTGAATATCACATTTGGTGCGATAGGGATCGTGGGGGGCAGCGTTGGCGGTCCTGCTCCCTGCATCCATGATAAGTCGAAGCTAACCTCGCCCACGCGAATCGACGATCTCATACTCGCTGTGTGGTCTTCAATAGACCATGCAGGGGCTCTCCCCTCTTGTATTGCTTCCTCTGCTTGGGCTTCGATGTCTGCAATATCGAGCTGTGTTGGCGTACTTGAGGCGGGTGTCGAGGAGCTCGAGGAGGAGGATGGCATCGTCAAGTGTTGTGGTTGGACAAAAAGGACATCGTCCTCATCCTCCGCCTGTTGGGGGTCTCCAGCTGCTCGCGTAGTGGGGTTTCCCCCTGATTGGCGGATATGCTCCGGTCTGTTATCCACCACATGTACTGGGTGGTTGTGGACGCCGTCGAAGCGGAGTTGAATCGTAGTGCTGTTTGTCAGTTTCCGGAGGACGTTCTCCTTCCTTGTTGGCTTCGGCGGTTGTTCTCGATGGTCATCCGGTAGCTGAAAAGATACTCGATGTGGCCGCTGTTGATCATCTCCAGGTAGTACATGCTGACTGAGGGTTTGTTGTAGTGACTGACGCTGAGGTGGAGGTGGTTGACGATTTGGTTCAGGTAGTGGTTGTTCTCGCCGAGGCAATGGTTGTAGGTAAGGATTGTCCTTCTGTCGTTGCTGGTGATCATGTCGTGCTTGGTTCTCCGCTTTGTCGCCTCCGTGTTGGTCATCGTCTCGGGCTTGGAGAGGTGGTCGAGGTGGAGGGTCGGCTGCTTCTGCATCATTTGATGCTGTGCCAGGTTCCAGGGGAACATCCCCTTCGTAGTCTGGCCGGGAAGATGCACCCGGTGGTTGTTCTGGCTGTAGACGGCTCGGTTGTTGTTGTTCTCGTGGTTGATGTGGCAATGGCGGGCGGGAGGAGGAAGATGAGGATGCCGATGTCGATGGACCCGATGTGGGGATAACTCTCCCCTGCTCGTCTCGGACATAGTTGTTGTGTGCCTGCAACAGGGCGGCGAACTTGGCGCGATCGTCCGCTGTGGCGAGCGGTCGTTTGCGGGGGGGTTGTTCTCCCCGTTTCAGCCATTCCAGAGCAGCACGCCATGTGAGCCAACTGGGTTTGGGGTCAAAACCAGCTTCTTGCCACCTTTTCTTGACATCAGATTTGCGGGCTTTGTTCTTCACCCTTTGGCTTCCATGACCAGCTGGTCGCTTCTTGGGGTTTCCCCCGCTTGCCTGTGGCTCGTTCTGTTGCTGACCAGGGTCGGGGACATCCGATTCGTCCTCAGTGTCACTGACATCACTTATCCAGTCCGCGTCATCCGTGGCATCGGTCTCTGCTGTAGTGGGCTCCAAGTTGAGAGCCTCCATCTCCCCAGCAGTATCTTCCAGGATTTCGATCCACTCGTCCTCCTCGTCCCTGGCGTAGGTAGACTCACTCTCGTCCGTGGCGGTGGCCATAGTTGCTGTCGCGGAAGCTGTCGCTGAAGCTGTCGCTGCTGGGCTGACGTCTTCTGGTGGGCAATGTACTGTAGAGGGTCGTTCTGGAGGAGCATATTCCGGCTCTGGTTGCGCAAGTGGTTCCGTAGATCCCCCAGATGGGCTGGGTCCCACGCATGTTGGGGCATCCGTTTCCGTTGTCTGTGGTTGATCTTGTCGGAGTAGTGCATGAGGTAGTGGGGGCGCGTTAGCTTCTTGGGCTGGCTGAGATGTCTCAACCTCGGACGTTCCTTGGTGAGTCGCCAATACCTCGGCCGGAGTAGAGTAGTCAGTGGGGGAAGTCTCCCCTTGTTGTCCTGATATTGGTTCGGGTTGTGCTGCATGAGCTTGTGGACCCGCTGCCTGGTTATGGGACCATTGAGCTGGAGGAAGAAGGGGTCCATCGTTGGCCAGTGATCTTGCTAAGGTTGCCCACTCATCCATAGCGGGTGATGCCATGTTGCCATGTTGGATGGGGTCCGGTGGTAGTTGATGCTGAAACTGAGGAGGTCGTGGCGGAGGTTGCTTTGGCGGAGGGTGGCCCCTGTTGTATTGTTGTTGGGCCAGCGGTTGTTGTTGTTGTTGGCGGTCTTGTGGTTGTAGAGTACGTTGCCGGGGTGGTAAGCCTCCTGCTCGTAGTTCGTCGTCTTGTAAAACTCCTTCTTCGTGCCATGGATCTGATCTGGGATCATAGGTCGCTGCGAAGCCAAATCTCACTGTGGATGGCCCGAACGGCTGCGCGGGTCTTGCGGCGGCCATGTGAGCTCCGTGATCGTAGACGCCCGTGGAACTTGCACTCGTTGGATCAGTGGCTTGTTGGGCATCCTCTTCATCGTCGTCCCAGGCTGACCATGGCATGTACGCTGTGGTATGTATTGGTTGTGGTTGTCGAAGTCGGTCAGCCAGTTGTTCCACTTGGATCTGTTCCGGACCTTGTAGTTGAACTTGTGCAGGGACATGTAATGCATGCGCACCAGGGGGCTCGCGAGGATCTCGTTGCGATCCCGATGGTGGCGTCGAGGAGGAACTCACCGACATCGACGTAGGGGCTGTACCCTGCTGAGGCGCGTTGGCGCCTTGTCGTGGCTTGGAGGGTCGATCGCTGGGTCCTGGTTCGTGAAGAAGAGGGTTCTCCTCAACATAGTGCACCGGAAAGTCTGCCACTTCATCCGGGGCTGCGAGCGTTGGTGTGGGTTCCGTCCAAGACTGGTCCTCCGGTGGTGCAAGGGGAGGTTCGGACTCATCGTCCGAGACTGAGGGATCTGCAGGGGTTGACTGGGGCATCGATGACCCCAACCAGGTGAACCCGCTCCCTGCGATGGCTAACAATAGGACCACTGCTCTTCCTGGGCGACGATGACTGCAGGCAGGGCATTTTCCCCTGGTCTGTGACGCCATGGTTTCCACAGGGCACGCGCTACTCTAGGGCAAGCAGGACGAACGGGACAACAACCAAAAATCCCTAGCACCTAGCCCGAAAGCACTGGACAGCAGGGAAAGGCTTGCTTGCATGACGGAGATTCTTGCCTTCATGACGTGCGAGTGTGTTGTTCAATGTCCGTTATGCTCGACAAGTCTGTAAGCCTCGACTGCGCACGGGACCAGCTTGTCTGCAACCTGCCTGCAACGCACGCCCAGAGGCCTCAGCGAAGTGCTTGGGGGCTGCAGCTACCGGGCGAGGGGGGGCCTAAACCTTATGAAAAGCTGGCAGCGAGCCGCCTGGCGTGGTGCGGGTCATACTGTGCCGTAGGACGTTGGGGAAGCCAAGACTGCAATTGCTGAAAGAAATAAAAAACTCTTAAGGAGGGCTGGGGGCTGCATTGGTTGCACTGGGATAGATCACGCAAAAATCGAACTGATGCAAGGTTAGGTGCGGAAGAACACTGATGGGGCAGTAGGGGCTGCACTGGCTGCACTGGAGTACATCAAGCATTTTCTGTGCTGCGTGGCTTCTTTGACATCATCTGGGTTTCTCCCAGAGAAACAGTGGTCTCTGTAGCTGGCATGCATATTTCACGCAGTCCAGCAAAGCGGGAGGTGAGTCCTGCCTTCATTCTTCATGTTCGACATCACTGTCCGACTCGAGGTCTTCCGGGCGGTAGGTAGTGCCGGATTTCCCGCGTAGTTTTCCCGCGGGCCACGTTAAACTTGTGTCGCACGAGCTGGAGCGTCCAGGCTTGAAAGGCAGGGTGCGCTGAACGAGGGATGTTCGCGTGTACAGACTGAGCTTGGCTCTTGCGCATTGGCTCTCAGTTGGCACGACGAAGCCCAATGTGCGGAGTTCGTGCAGGAGGTGTGCTGGAGCTGCTCTCCATCCCGCCGTAGTCCAGGCAACTAGGACAATCCTGTGGGAAGCCCCCGGTATGCTGCAGTGTAAAACCGAGCAGGCTGACAGCTTGTACGATCCTGTGAGGACCGTTCCCCAGCGCAAGGTTCCTGAAGAGAGCTCAACTGCTACATCACCAGCATGGCTCTCCACCCATGTGCCTCCTCCTTTGCTCGACTTAAGCTCAACGATCAAGTTGGGGATCCATTCGTTTTGCAGGTCTCTGTGGGGTTCGAACCTGGGGTCGAAAAGTAAGCCTGCAGTCAGAAAAGGACTTCCCGGGAATTCTTGGCGCAGCAGGGAGGTGAAGAGCGCGGTGGTGTTGGGCAGCTGTTTTGTACAATCATGCATGCCACATCCCACTCGGACAAAAAGGCCCAGTCGGACCCCCATTGCATCGCATGTGACAC